CACCGCATTTGTGTAGGATGTTTTGCGCCTGATCGAGCACCCCTGATGCTACAGAAGACAAGAACCTAAGAATCCTATGTCGCTCATGGGAAGGACACCTTCGGCAGCCTTGTCCGGAACCCCGCGACAACAGTCGAAGGGTTCATATTACCGAGACAACGTGCACTGCATGCCCGAGCCTGTCACAATCAATAACTTCTCGAAGTCGCGACACTCGCGTTGTCCAGCTGCTACTTTGACGCCAGCCTCCCAGGCATTCGCGACATCATCGACGACGTTCTCTGGGAGGAGATCAGGAAGCTACATCCTGCCATCAGTTGCCCGGCTTTTATTTTGATTGCCGAGATTGTTTCGGAACAAGTTTGAGAGGTATTTCAACCGACACTTATACGAGCAAAGCGACATCTGACGAACGGAGGACAACTTACGCCACAATGGCACGACGACCGCCACCGGCTGCCGCTTAGTATTCAATGTCAATTCAATGAGACTCCCAACAACGTCGAAGCATTCCCGACGTCGTGTGTAGGTCTGCGTCAACAAAGTACACCATGGAAAGCGTAGGTGTAGCGAATGGCCGACCGAAAACCACTTTGCTACCACTGCATAAGGCCGACCATTTCTACCAGAGCTGCCCGTACCAATGAATTGGCCTGCGAGGGTTTCTGCCGAACCACCCTCGACCACGTCTTGAGGAGCGACCACGGGACATTGAGGAATAACTTCGGCGGCCTTTGTCTCCGATGCCGACATTACCCCGAAGCTCGTGATGTCCATCACCTCAACGAGAGGTAAACACAACAAAGCAGGGGAGCGGCAATTCAATGATAGCTGATTTGGTGTTGGTTGTCGTCCAAGGATAATACCTAATATTTTGCTGACACCAATTATCTGTGTCCACTCCACGAAGCACACAATTTCCAACTTTGAGGGAGAATGCCGCTGAGTAACTTGAATAAATCAAATAGTTGGGTGTTCTCAAAAGTGGACACCAAGCATCACCCGACTTCACTTTGCCACACGAGACTTACACAAGTTTCAGTGGTCGCGGGATGCAGAAGAAATCGTTATTACGAAATGGAAGTGAAATGGTTTGGATAGCCAACAAACATTGTTGCCAGCCATCCAGTCAAAGGTACAGCAAAAGACACAGCCACGTAAGCAATATATGCCCGAGCTTGCTGCATTGACGCAGAAAACTACCAGAAAAATTTGCGAATTAGGAGCCAGCCCTGCAGCTTCAGTGCATTAGATGTCAGCGGCAGCACATGACGTATGATTGCAAGATGGCATCAGTCAATCAAAGTTACCACTCGACCATACTGAACACTGACGTGCCAGGAGCGTCATCCGACAACAAGGTCCACAGGTACTACAACTGAACGCCTGACACGAGACTGTCACAGAACTAACTCGTTATGGAACCATTTACCTAATAATCAATAATTATGTAATCAACTGTGAATAAACATATTTGATACACTAACCATATTTCCACTTGCCTTTACGCCTGTAGAGTCTATACACCAAGAATTGTGCTCACTGCACGCGCAGGTCCTTTTGAGGACACTCGCATCTCTGATCCTTCAATCATAATTAATGGGACATACCAGACTGGCAGGCTTATTGCATGGGGTTGCAATCGTTCCACCTCTCCTGCCCACGTGGTGCATCCGAGAACAAACTCCAGTGACGTGAAAATGATATTTATTAATTTACCCCCTCCGGGGGCCTTTCTAGGCTATGCAGAGAGAATGCTTAAAATTACACTCATGATAATGATATTAAAGCACATTGCTGTAACTCCTTAAATGCAAAAACAAACACACCTCTGAGCATATAGTTTAATAGTATCTGTTGGTGCACTGCTATATAGCAGGACACTTCCTATACGTATGACACAATAGACCCTTTGCAGAACCCCATCAAGCAACACAACTGTCGCCATTTTTTTTGTATAAAGCACACGAATGGGCCCCAGTTCTCGTCGAACGCTAATACAGCATTCGAGTCCAATGGGCGCTGAGCCGAGTTTACAGTGATGGCGGACATAACATTTTTGTCGAAGAAATGGCCAAAGTATGAAGGCCTGGGGTAATTAGAGTAGTACCTTCCGTAATTCGTTTCATCACAATTTGGCAAACGGCAATGTTCACGTTGGAGAGAGGCACATGACAACTGATCATCAGAGTCAGGCACGTAGCCAGGATTTTGTTTCCAGGGGGGGGGGGGGGGGGGCGCCCATGACAAAATGCTGTATGAGGGGGAGGGGGGAGTTTAGGTCCCACCAAAATGGAGGATTTCGGGGGGGGGGGGGGGGCGGGCACCAAGACTACCCCTCCCCCCGTGGCTACATGCCTGATCAGAGTGCTCGTGTGCACAGATTTGTTACACACCGTCGCTCCGTCTCTCTGATTGGCTCGAGGGAACTGCGGCCGATTGTATTTTCCTTTTCCAACCTACGGCTACGGTGATACGACGTATAGGTAGCCCACACTTTTGAAAAAAGTCTGATGAAGAGAGCGAAAGGAACGGTAGTCATCATTTTTAAACAAGACTGCTCTTCAAGCAAGGGATTAACACAAATATGGATTATCTTATGTAGGTAATTAAAACAAGTAAATAATTAACCGACTAATACAATTAATACAATGCACTTTTGATGAAAAAAGTATTGCTGCAATAAATCCTACGAAAGAAAAAAACTGTGCAGTTAATCTATTCGTACACCAAACCAAAACAGTTGTTCTTATAGCAAGTCGAATAGATTTGAAGCAGGTGCCTGCAACGATTTATTCATCCCCACACTCAATAAAACGTCATCCTCGTAGCTAAAAGTAAGTGTGCACTTCGCACTCACAAAAAAAAAGGAAGAAAAGCGATCGAATGTAGAATCGTCGATTAGCGCAAAAGGTAAAATATCGCAGGAGCTTCATCGCTAAAAGTTGCGGTGGTTATTCGGTGACGCAGGGCTGAAACAACTTCCCCTAGGCCCTAACGCGACGTATACCTTTAGCTTCGGTTATCGGACATTCCAACGTTCAAAAGAAGCTAGAAAAATGCGAATATTGTATGCCTGAAGTTTTATCGTAAAGTTGTTGATAATTGCAAAGCGTAAAGATCGCAGGAGCTTCTTCGCTAAAAGTTTCTGTGATTATGCAGTTACCTAGGGCTGAAACAAATTGCTCTAGACCCTTCATCCGACGCATACATTTCGCGTCGATTTTCAGACATTTCAACGTTCAAACAAAGCTAAGAGAATGCGAAAATTTTATGCTAAAAGCACTCAAAGCTCTATCGATCCTCGAACACATTCCGGAATCCGAGCATCGGTACGGCGATACGGCTGATACTGTCTCATGGGTGTTAATATCAGATGATCCAGAGCGATCTTGTGCAAAAAGGATATAAAGTCTTATTCCTTCATATTTTCACATCATACCCGCGTAAGCGAGCACGAAGAAGCGCGAAGTTGTTGGAAAGCAGCTGCACATCATGGCTACCGCGCACCGAAGCAACTCGCATCCACCAGCTCTGGGCGCTGCCACCTTAGCTGTGACGTCACGGCTCTTGGGAGGTCACGTGACGAGTGGTTACATTTGCGTACAACATGGCGGCAACCGGGGGGTGCCACTTCCGAAGTTCCGGTTTATCACTCTAAGCCCCTCTACTCGTTGGTTATCACGTTGGCGCACCGCTCGCCCGAAAAGTGAGGGATAAGATAGCTTCCATAATGCAGGGGCTTTAGGATGGGCTGCTTTTGCCGGCCGCCCTCTCTTTCAATAGAAAACATGCGTGACTCTCTCGCTCGGTGCGCGCTCAGGAACAATAGCGCAGCGTGTCCCGATTTTTCTAAAGCCCCTTTATACCGAAAAGTAGCGACATCCTTTGAAGAATACCGCCTGCTATCTTGGGCCAAACTAGGCGGTGCTACCATTAACGCGCGGGTGTAAAAAAACAAAACATAAAGACAAAAGGCGTGCGAGTCGGAGGAAGGAAGAAAAGGTATGCCTATGCTATGCTGTCGGAGTGCAGTACATGCTATGAACTCATGTCGCCAAGAAAATAACGCCGACTGTGCAACCTCGCAGCTTTCGTCACCTTTCTTTGAGCAAATCCTTCGAGGCTGGTAGACCGTGACAGTGTGCTTTTAGCCTGGGTGCATGTATTTTCGTTCGCGTGTCTTTCAGGGCCTTTGACTGCACTCTGAGTCAAGTATAGGAAGGCCGTCTGCAATTTTAAGCCGAACCAGGCGGCGCTGCAGTCGACCCGCGTGTGTAAAAAAGCAAAACATAAAGATAAAAGGTGCGGGCGTCAGAGCAGGGGGGAGAAGATGTCGCCACCTTTGTTATTCAGGAGCATTAGATTTTCTGTCCTTGGTCACTTACGCTAAACTGTTTTCTCGTTGCACCTTGACGCTTATTCTTAGATGATGACCAGACCACACGCGACTATAATGCTGATCCACGCTGCTGTGTCGTACCTGTGGCGAGGATCATTCAGTATCCAGCAGATCTCCAGCTCCCTTGTTCCTTGATCTCCAGCGCCAGCAGGTCTCCAGCGCTCATGACGACTTGCCCCATAACCAATCCAAGCTAAAAAAAAAACAAACCGCGTACATAAACTTGTTCTCAAACCAGCCAAGCGCTGTTTCTCAAAGCAGGTACACCTTAGAGGAATTACGCTTAAGATTATTATTCTGTGGTAGGCAATGCTACACCCTCCTTCCGGGGCGCGATCTCCAATGTGTTCTGGGCATTTCGAAATTTTTTGGGGCCTATATTTTACCCTTCCAGCGTCAGGTTAGACGTAAATAAATCACGCGGAAGATCTCAGTCACTAGAAGCTGGGCAATGGCCAACATCAATAATTACTCAAGGACATTGAAAATAGATGCACAATTCCCGTGCCACGGCATAATGATAAGACAGCAAATATTATTATTTTTAGGTTTTCCTTGTTCAGTGTATACGCAATGAAAATGAACTTTTTAATTACAGCTGCCCTGGTTCAAGGCTCCGGAACACGTGATGTTCGTGGATTTCTTCCCGAAGACACCGAACGGGAAGATTCAGAAGCTCAAAATGCGAGAGGAGACGGTGCGACTCCTCAACCTGTAAAGGATACTGCGCAATATATTAAACAAACACATTGCAACAATAATGCCTTCTTAGCAAACGACATTAACACGACTGTCGCGTGATATTAACTCAGGTGAAAGCGGTGTCTTATGGCAAGAAATACACCATCGACCGAAAGCACTGCTTTAGGAAACATTTGACAATTGCAAGCCGATTTCTGAAAGATCCTGGGGTGAGTAACATATAAATAAGACAATGAAAACTTAACTTTAATTTTAATTTAGTCTCTTCAGTAAATTTTATAACAACCGGGCACTATTCACGGAATTGGTGTCACCTGTGGGACGCCGGACTTAGGCACGTGTTAGCAACTCTGGTATATTTTATTTTTGTTATGGCTACCTTGCCAATTTTTTGTCCCCATAATCTTTTTGGTTTTTCATTTGTTTTTGAAGAAATCAGTCACATATATTGATGACGATTTAACCCAAGACTTTGGCAGCTGCAAAATATTTTTTAGCGTTGAAGAGAAGGCTGCAGGTACAAGCAGCGTCTGCCCCTGTTACATAAAGTTGAGGCTTGCTGCTTCTTTGTGCATATGCGGAGGGCAAGTTCGTCTGCTTCCTGCGCAGGGGGTAGCGGTGACGTTAGAACGCCGAGCCCCGATTGGCTGATCGCGACCCCCTATGTGAGCGTCGTCTGCTCCTTTGCACCGACGTCTGCTCGCAGCGTCGTCTGCGTCTGTCTTACCTTTTCTGCGACTTTCGAAGCTGCGGGTCTTTACAAGCGAGCTCGACTTCGCCTTTCAGAGAGGGCAGACGAAATAACTCCAGCGGTACGTTGTTTTTGTTTAACAACTAGCAGACACGCATCAAGAAGAGAAGTCAAAGGACTCACTGGCGAGGTGTCCCGAGGCGCCGAGGTTTGTTTGTTAAGAACCGAGAGTGAGGGTGGTTAGTGTCCTCAAGTTCCCTCCCAAATACTTTTTCTCTCGTTTCGTGTGCGGCTAGACTCCTCACTCTTTAACGGCGTCGGCGGGTTGGTGCCGTTGGCGCAGTTAACGTCGTCTGCTTTACGTCTGCTAGTGAAAGCCATAGCTGCTTTACCTTTCCGGCGTCTGTCGGAGATCCACCGCTTTTTCACCGCCGCACACGAGGGAGGGAAAAAGTATTTGGGAGAGAACTTGCGGACATTCGCCACCCTCCTCTCGGTTCTTTGCAAACAAACCTCGGCGCCTCGGGCACCTCGCCAGTGAGTCCTTTGACTTCTCTCCTTGATGCGTGTCTGCTAGTTGTTCGACAAAAACAACTCTCTTAAAGGCGAAGTCGAGCTCGCTCGTTAAGACCTTCACTTCCGAAAGTCGCAGGAAAGGTAAGGCAGGCGCAGACGACGTTGCGAGCAGACGACGTTGCAAAGAAGCAGATGACGCTCAGATAGGGTGTCGCGATCAGCCAATCAGGGCTCGGCGTTCTGACGTCACCGCTACCCCCTGCGCAGGAGGCAGACGAACTTGCCCTCCGCATTAATTGGCATATCGGGATTGCCACCTGGGACCGCCGATCCCGTGTCTATGCTCCGCCGTTTCCACGCGTCGAAATGGATGAGACCTTTCGCTTTAGGTTATTATATTAAATTTATGATGTCGATAGAGAAGCTTCGTATCCCAACTAAGGGTTTGTGGACTGCACTGGGTGTCAGGTGGGGAACCTCTTTTTCATTGACTAGAACAATAACATAATCAGAGATGCAGTTATACCCAGTCGGCTCTATACCTCTACGGCACTACGGGTGCCACAGTAAGACACTGAATGCCTCCAATATAGATTCAAGGCACTGATAACATACGACAATGTTGGTTTCAATGTCGAGTCTCACCGGAAGTGAGGTAATGTGCAAGAAGCCTATTCTTTGAGGGGCCAAAAATCGAGCACAAGGAAGAAAGAGTGGACACACGGAGCTCTACTGGCAACTGAATAATTTTTGTAAATCACAAATATATATATGCACTTTATTATGCCTCACCCTAAATTAATCTAAATTCCTTATTTGGTGAAACGATTGACGACGCACTGATGTAGGTGCCATCCTCCTTTACGCTAACTTTTAACGCCTCAAAAAAGTTTCTTTTCTCTTTTGGACTTATTTTTGCCCGGAATTTGTGTTGTATCCAGCAAAGGATCGCACGAGCACCCATCACAGTGGACTGCCAAGTTCCTCGAAGGAAACCGTATTACAGCAAGCTGATCCCCTATGTGAGATCGGGTGGTGCACGAAAGCACACGAGGTCACACTCCCATGTCAAATGCCCCACGACTAGCAGCCCGCATTTTCGCCCTGCCTTTAAAAGGCCAGTTTCAGAAGTCCATGGCGCGTCTCCCCAGATCAGATGAGCCGGGTCCTCATCGTGACGAAGTAGCATTCTGCTTTTAATTAAGGCACAGTAATTGTGTATTTGAGCGTGTGTAATGTAATTATACCATGATTCGTAGATTCCTAACATATTAGGTTAAGACATGGAACAATGCTGGCTGAAGCGCGCATAGAAACTCTGCACGTGGACAATCAATATGCATCCGTATTATCGCCAACATGTCGTTGGTATTTTAGACTACCGATGTGTCGCATCTGCATCTTTGTGTGTATGTTTTATTTGTGTGGGCATGCTCTCCTATTTACAATTTAGTTATGCAAGTTGGTGATAAATTTAAATAAGAAAAAAAAAACGAGCAATATGTTTTGTGTTTTCCGTCCTTCATGCTTTATTCTTCCTTGAATTTATCTCTCCTCGTCGCTTGTGAAGCATAAACTAAGTATCTTCAATGGTGCTCTGAGCACAACAAAAGCGCCGATGTGGCCGACGGTTTTCTTAAAATTTTAATTACCAATTGTTTTTTTTTGGGGGGGGAGGTATTAACTTTAACGGACCGAAGACACGTGGGACCGCCTTCACTTCCATGTGAGTGACAAGGAGAGGACCTTTTGACAATCGGAGACAGGTGTTCTTCCTACGAAATGCACGTTTTGTCACGATCCGAATAGTTGGGACCGTGTCCGACCTCTGGGCCAGAACTTTCCGACGAGCCCGGTGTGTGATTCACAGTGATCGGCACGAAAGGCTTTTTACATCGCTATTTTAAGTGTTTTGTATTCTAAATGACCGTGAGGGGTGTTCCGATTGGTTATTTTTGTGTACCAAATTATTTCTACTTCCTTTGTTTTCTTAAAATACGGCTGCCTTATTGGTGGGAGTTGTGTGATATAGTAAAGTTCTTCCAGTATGTGCAAAGCGGAATACCACATAAACGTTGAGAAGTCCTTACTCGCCAAGATTTGTTTTGATGGATGTGAGTGGAGTGGTCAGGTATGTCACGGCGCTATGTGAGTGTATTTGCCAGTAATTGTCTTTACTCGATAAGCTATTTTATATGCGTGATTTATTTTATCTTCTTCATTGATTCAAGTGTCAAGTTCTGTTCAACTGTCGTGTTTATTTCTTCTAAAAAGTTATTTATGAGTGTTAATTTACTAGTTAATTTGACACTGGTGGGCTGAAGTGGGAGGCCATCAGTTGGATTTATAACTTTGCGAAACAATATGGAGGCAATATGGGCACATTTTAACTACGTATTTCTATACCGCAGGTGCGGTAGTTCTCAGTAGCCAAAAACTACTTGACAGTGCTTCCTAATTTGTGTTGGCATAAAACTAATAAATCTTTTGACAACAAGTATTTTTGAATCCAGTCGTAGCCAAGTGAATCCTCCTACACAGTCATTAAGAGTCCAGGGACACGTGTTCATTTTTTAGAATATATCCGGTTGTAGGAAACGTGAGGAAACTGATCTTTACACTTTTCGTAGCTCTTTTAGACTAACCCCAGTCATTATAGTTCAACAGCACTTTTGACAAAACGACAGGTTCCCAATGGTGTCTACGAAAACAGTATAGGAATTCCTGGCCTACCTTGCAATTTTGATCAGATCGCAGACGAGAAGTGTGCAGAAAGCGCCACCGCCATCGCATGACTTAAGTAAGTTGAGAATGACTAAAGAGTAACAAGGACCATGCAGCAACCTTGTGTTTAAATTTATCTTAGATGTTGCTTAGTGAAACTAAATAAAACTAGTACATGAAAGCATCATGCCACAAAATGAGTACAAGATGTCATCTGTGAACCTGTGAAAATAGGGGGGCATTATGTCCTACCCCCTGTGCAAAACTTTTTGCTGTTTTCTCTTGATTATTTCGCAGTGGGTAAATAATTCAATTAAATTCAGATCGTAAATTGGATGCACGGGCTAAATCACTTAGAAACACACAATATGTATTAAAAATTGTAGTTTATATACCGAAAATCAATCAACTCTAACAATGGTCCTGAGAATAATTTTCTATACACATTCCTACCATTGGCGTATGCATGTAATGAACGTTAGCAGTGCCAGTGAGGTGAGAATACCGTACAGCTTGTTCTGGAAGCGTACAGAAGAGTGGGCAGCAGAACGGCTCTGAAACCCTATGTCAGTTGTTCTCAGGCATGGATGTGTCGGGGACCCCTGGGGGACCTGCCTAAGCAATGGAGGACCCCATGCCAGCAGCGGAAAGGAAAGACGGGGGTAAAGAATGAGACAACTAATCGGAGTGTGAAAAGGGCATACTTTGCTGTTATAAAAGAGGTTAGAAGCATCAAGTAAAATTATGAGTGGACGGATAGATGCATGGTAATAACTGTACCATTTAAAACTGGCGGTAGCTTGCACCCCCTAGCAGTACAACAAAACGTATTTTATTTTCCAAAAAAAGAGGGGGGTCGTTGTTGTTTTTGAGGGTTGAGGCGAGCGCTTGGGGGACCCTAGAATTGAATTTGCGGAACCCCAGTTGTGGGCCCCTGCTCTATATCTTGACTTGTATGACCATTTGTTTTGCTAGTGAGACGAGAAAGAAAGCCGGCTCAGAGTTTTTTCATGTACTTCTGTCATTTCCTTATTCAAATTTTAATGACGTGACCATTTAGTAAAAGCCAGAAAGTCCCTTCCTGG